GCTCGGGCAACAGCGAGTTCAAGTTCCTCAAGCCCTTCGGCCCCAGCCTGACACCACAGCCCTGGGCCATGGGTGGGGGCCCCAGTGAGGAACAGGTTTTCCCTTGTGTCCCTGTCCCCACAGAGGACGTGACACCGGACGATGCTGGGACTGTCTCTGCAGAACAGTTCAACCATCTTTCCTTTAATTAGCATGGGGTCAGCACAGGCAGAGGCTTCATACCTTGTGGTAGCAAGGGATGCAGGCTGCAGCCTATGGGAATGGTTCCTCCAGAATAAATCTGTGTTTGCATTTGACATAACCAAGTTCCTGCAAATTCTAGATCAGAATAAATGTTGTCTCTCATTTCAAAAACTAGTCAACCGAACAAAAGAAAGTAAGGTTCTGTCACTCTCAGACTGATATATTTCACCTCCATTACAGCCATTTCTGAGTGTCTTTGAGAATGGAGTTAGCAGTTTCAGCTAAGCTCTTATTGCTCTTGCTGTCCACCAAGACAGTGGACCTTTTTTTCTTTGTTGCAACACAATTGCACAGTTGGACAGACATTGCTGAAATGCAGAAAAACCCTTTTCCAGCTCAGAAAAGTAAGGACGTTGTAAGAACTGTGTCACACAATTGTTTGAGCATGGTGTTTTTTCTTTCCTGGGTTCTGGATGTCTCTGAGACCGTGTGGGTTTTGTGTCCTTTGCTTTCTTGTCACTATATCAGTCAATACAGCCACTGTGTGTCTGCATATCCTGTACTTGTGGTGCACAGCAAATCAGGGATTGGCTTCCATTCAGCTGTTGTAATGCAGGCAACTCCAGCTCAGCAGGCAAGAAGGGTATTTTGACCTTTTGAGTACAACAGTCTCATCATCTCCAGGGCAGGGCAAAGCACCAAAACACGTAACAAATCTTCCTTTGCCCTTTGAAAGGGAGGTTGGGTGTTCTATCTCCTTGGGATCATCTTGAAAATACAGAAATACGGCAGTACAAATGCAGTTGGGGTAGACTGTAACTGTGCAGAGTTGTGAAAACATGTTCGTTGTCTTTAGATGAATTGCATGAAAACTCCACATGTCCTTCAAAGAGCATTTTCTGAAGGTAGAATCAAGGTGAAATGGTAAAAAGGACATTGAGTTTGGTCTCCTCATGGTTGTACCTGAACACTTCTTGATAGGAGTGGAAAACTGTCCCCACATGATTCTTTGGGTTTGTGGGAGGCCGTTTGCATTCTCCTTTTTGTCATTTCTCCTTCTACTCTCTGAACTCTGTTTGAGCATTGTCTTTCTTATTCTACTTAAGAAGGACTGTCATATCATGTATAATAAAGTATTTTTGAATGATGTCTGTGATGCACAGAATATTCAGAAAGCCTCACACTGTGTTGTGCTGAAGTTATAAACTTTCATAGCATTTTATACTTGGGTACCCCTGAGTGTAAAACTGAAATAAAGAGAACATCCAAATGCCTTGTACTGAGACAGTCTTTGTAGATTTGTTCTTTCTGGGAAAGCTCCCTCAAGGCTTTTCAAAAGTCCAGGAGGGTGGAGGGTTTTTTCTGTCTTTTTCCTTTGGCTGAGGTAATGCTGAGTGGGTGCATTTCTCGTTCCAAGATGCAGCTGATACAACATTCAGGAAAACAGTGGGGAGGAGGGAATTGCTATCAGGCCTCTGTGGCTCCTCTGAGCACTGACCTGGCTGAGATGATCCCAGTAATATGCAGGTCAGGGGAATCTTACCCCATCCCCAACAGAGGCTCTGGGTTTTCAAAGGCCCCTGCAAAGCAGTGATGGAGGGAAGTGTCCTTTCCAACTCTCCTGACAGCTCCATCTGCAAATGGCAGTTGTGAGGTGTCAGACCATGTAGTGTTTGCAACACTAAAGGTGTAGGAATTTCAGAAAAGGGTGGCACAAAGATAGAATGCAGGTTGCCTTGAGAAGTATTCCATGGGAGATCCTGGAGGTGGGAATTTGCTGAGTAAAAGCTGCTACCACGGAGATGCCTTGCTGTCGGGAAATACAGAGGACTACAACAGGACTGCTTCCACAAGGCATGGATGAACAGGTAAGTCCTGAGGAGAAACTGGTGTAGTGATGCTGACAGAAGACTGATGTACATCAAGGATGAAGTGATCCATAATCCAGTTAATCTGGGAAGGCACAGGCCTCTGCTGTGCTGTGTTCTGCTCCACAAATCCTTTGTCGAAAGGTTAAATTCATCTCATGGTAAGTAAAGAACCTGCAGGCAGCTCCCACTTGGTATTGGTGAGAAAGCCCACTGGGAGCAAGAAGTCTACATGCAAACTTCTTTTAGTGGGACACTGAAAATGATAAATAAAACTACTTTACTTCGTGAAAGTTGTGTAATGTCTTGAATGAGTGAAACAGAAGCACTCCTCCTTTTCTGTGACCGGGGCCTGCATGGCTGCTGTGTGTGGCTGGAGTCCCATGTGAAGTTACTTCCACTAAGTGTTCTCCACATCTAATGGGATGTAGGATGATCTCTACTAATCTTTTCCAATAGTGTGAGCTATAACAGAGAGTCAGTGTGTCTCTCTTACTGAGATCTCTAGAGACCATCACCCTTTGTAGCTAAACTGCTGGGTCTCAGGTCATTCCAGCTTGAGGCTCCAAGTGTCAGTTCATAAATAGATGATTTATTACAGCTTTTACTCCAAGGGTGGAAGACACTTTCCTGTCTTGGAAGGCCTGAAAAAACACTGAGCTTTCCCAAGGGGCTCATTGGAGGTGCCCTTTAGGAAGGGTTAAGTCCTTAGGCCAGGTCATAAGAACCCTTAGCAGAAGAAATGCTTTTCTGGAGTTGTTGGTCACCAACACAAGTAGATGATCAGGGATATCAAGACTGGAGGCAGCCTGAGCTGCCATGGACATGCACTGGTGGAGTTCACAGTCCTGATGGAAATGGATCAGGCAAAGAGTAAATTCAGTATGCTGAATTTTAGGAAAGCACATTTCCACCTATTCAAGGAGTTAGTCAGTGCATGTCCCTAGGAAAGCGCCCTGAGGAACAAGGGAGCAGAGCAGAGCTAACAGATGTTTAAGGATGATTTCCACACACTGGAACAGACCACTTGAATCCATGTGTAAGAAATGAGGAAAAGAAGGGAAGAGACCGGAATGGCCAAGGGAAGACTTGCTCTTCAAACCAAGGGACAAGAAAGAAATGCACAGGCAGTGGAAGCAGAGACAGGTGTCCTAGAAAGAGTATGGGAATGTTGCCTAGTTTTTTAGGGGTAGGGTCAGGAATTCAAGGCACAGCTACAGCTGAACTCGACAAGGGATACAAAGAATAGCAAGAAGGGCTTCTACAGGTATGTCAGGCAGAAAAACAAGGTAACCCCCCCCCCCGATCTTCCCGTGATGAACACAACTGACAAGCTGGTAACAACAGAGCAGGAGAATGCTGAGGTACTCAACCTTCAGTCATCCCTGGCAGTGTCTCTTCCCACACCTATCAAGTGGATGGAGCTCA